CATTAGCACAGACATTAGCACAGACAGACATTACCTGTTCACCAGCGGCTCCTTTGAGCGCCGCCCGCTGCTGCTGCTGCTGCGGACACGTGAGGAGTCGCGGCTGAATGACGTCATTGTAGAAAGTATGGCTCTCGGGGAGGGACAAAACAGTCTCTCTCTCGTTAATGTTCATCAATGACAGGTGAGTTTATATTAACCTGACTGGTCTCAATAATTAGGAATGTAATTGAATTATTAAAGAGGGTTTGGTTCATTTAGTAGACACATTAAATAAAGAGTGAGTGTTTAGTTCAATCTTATCGTTTCAGTATTAGACTAAAAGTAATGCAGTGCTGCAATAAATGCTACCGTTAAAAAGTTCAGCTTTTATATTGTAAGTGTTTTAAAGGTGTCTGTTATGTAGCCAGCCCTCACTGATATATATGGGGTGTACACAATAATAGAAACAGCTGGCAGTACAGCACTGCATCTCCATTATTGGTTTCATTAGCAAGACAGTTTTAAAAGATATTTTACCTCCAAATTCCTGTTTGCCTTCCAGAGCAGCTGCCAACATCTGGCAGACATAATATTTGGTGATAAAAAGGTCAAATCAATACGATTACTACTAAAGTAGATAACAGACATTACAACAGGCAGGACACTGTAAAGGAACCGCAGAGGCCAGAACATTTTATACAATAAGTTTATGTACACTTTTACACTTCATTAACAAAACAGCCATTCTACAACAACCAGGATAGAACGAGGAGGATTCTGTCTCCAACATAATGCTTCAACAAGTGGCTCTGCTCCTTTTTATTTGGTTTGTTATTGCTGTCCTTCAACTCAAACAGTCTCTGCTTCAATCCAGTGTGTGTTGAAGAGTGATACGGTGGATGTGCTGCTGTACAAAAATACTACTGAAATAAATCATCTAAACTTTTAGAGGCCCGATCCTTCAGTCCGGAGCGGGGGAGGGGGCAACAAAATACTACAATCCAAATAGAGAAAAAAATATCAAACCTCAAAAGGTCAACACAGAGAAAGTTGCTCCCTCGTCAGCTGAATTCATACAATGTTGAACTGATACAACTCTTCCTGCCATCTACTGGCATATAAAAACATTTCAGTCATGTATTTTTTTATCGTCTTTGAACATACATTTCTCATGGTTTCTGATCTGGAAACACACATATATATCTATATATACATATAT